AGGCCATAGACGGGTCGTTTATCGGTCGATTTTTCGTCCGCACAAAAAAAAGGCCGATATTCATGCTGTTAGTGGGGCAAGCCCTTTGGCCTTTTATCACGGATCTTCTCGTTTAGTTTTATCGGTCATGCTGGTGTCTTGGAAATTCGCTTTGAATTAATTCTTCCTTACCGTGAGTACTCGCAGTTGGATGCGCAGAAATCCCCCATAAAGCTGTGCGAACTTCGCTTACCGCGACTGCAGCTAAACTCCACGATTCCTGCGCCTCCAACTGGTTTAGCTCTGTTGAGATGTGGGGAAATGGAGCTCCCGTTACCCAGGAATGATCAGGCGACACTCTCAGGTTGCTGTTGGAATTCACATAGAGGCTGGCTCCAATCCCAGCCTCCGGTTTTATTACAAGCACACACACGCCCCCCCACATGAGTCAGGTCAATCCCCTCCCACAGAACAATGCATGGGGAGTGTCTATACACAGAATGTACATTCCAATTGGAGCGTAGCCTTTCCTCTTATCTATAATGGGAGCCAGGTGCACCAGTCCTCCCCTCCCCCCATGAGCTCTCTGAGGAGAGCAAACTTCCCATATCCTATCAGCTCCTAGTAGTATGTACATTGTCTGTACAAGCATCCCCTAGATTAAACAGTCAGTCTGTATCTGAATGGGCCCGATACGATCTTTATTAAAACACATCCATCCAGATACAGTTCAGGTCGGTGGTGGTTTGTAAGATATACATGAGCCTACACGCGGAGTTCGCACTGCCTGGCGACTGGCCATACGAAGTCCATGTGGTACTATGCTTCTGATATGTGGATACAGGCCCGCGGCCTACCGCCGCGGCATTCGCATCGAATGCTGTGGTGGTATACACGCCGGTCTATAAGCGCAGATCTGACATCTCATCCATTACTGAGCTGAGTACTGTAATATATACATTGTAAATGCGCATGGCCTAATTGCAGCCTTCAGAGCTTTAATTAAGCCACACGAGAGATATATGTATAACACTAATATATGACACATTTAAAGTTCAGCCTGTAAATACAAAATTTCCATGACACTGGAAAATCAGCAAAAAACGGTCATTTTTCGTGGACATTGATGGCAGCATCGGCAACGGGGCCGACTGATTTTTTGTTTATCGGCCGAAAATTCGGCCGATAACGGCCCGTCTATGGCCTGCCTAAGTGGGTAGAGGTAATGAAGGATGAAGTAGAGACTTAAAGGTAGAAAAGAGTTGACTGGGATTGCATGAGAGGGTGTTAGAGAGAGTGATAAAATAGGTTTGTTTGGCAGTGTAGACAAGATTTGTATTTTTGAAGGGCATATTAATATTGGTCGACAGCTTGCTGGGTCTTAGTCTTGTTCCATAAACACTCAAGAGCACAGCTACTTTTTTTGAGACATCTGGTATTGTCTGTTTGCCAGGGCTGTAGTGATCTGGGGCCTAATTCTGTGTGTAGTGAGGGAGGCAAATGTGTCCACGGTGGATGACAGTGAACTTTTGTAGACAGAAGTGGCCAGGTTGGGGCAGGACGGAGCTGAGATTTTGTCATAGAGGCAATCTGTTGCAGAAAAAATAAGAGAAGGCTTAAGATAATGAAGGGTTCTACGGGTAACTGTTCGGTAGTTGGAAGCCAAGAAGGAAGAAGCCAAGGAGAGAATGAAGCTAATAAGGGAGTGATAAGAGAGAGGAAAAGGGATATTGGTGAGGTTGCAAGGAGTGCATGGGTAGGAGACTACAAAGTCGAGGCAGTAACCATTAAAGTAAGTAGAAGCATGTTTCCATTGTTTTAGGTCAAAAGAAGTGGTTAGGCTCAAAAGTTTAAAAGTAGCAGGAGTGTTAAGCTTAGCAGGGATGTTGAAGTCACCAAGAAGGATTGTGGGAATTTCAGAAGAAAGTAAGGCAGCTAAGCACAGAAGTCATCAAAGAAGCTTGATATCGGTCCAGGAGGCCGATAGATTACAGCAGTTCTTAACCCCTTCACGCGAGCGTACACAAATATGCGGCCTATCGATCTTCCACATACTCGTGTACCATTTGTAAATAAACGTGGTGAGAGCACGTGTCTCTGCATCCCACGGAAAGGTCCCGATCTCTTCTTGCGAACAGGACCTTTTCCAATCATGTGACCACCATGACAGCCAATCATGGCGGTCACATGACCCTAAGCCCCTCCCCGCTCCCGACGTCAGAAACCCCTTAAAGGACCGGGAGGCATCAGCGCGAAGGGGTTAAAGAAACTGAAGAGAACAGATGAATACAGTGAACTTCAAATGAGGACAGGGAGGTGAATGAAGGACCTGAACAGTGCTTTGAGGGGGTAGGAGGATTCCAACTCCATCTCCTTTCCGTCCACTAGGCCTGGGAGAGTGAGTCAAGAGGAGACCACCATGGGAGTGGGCAGAAGGAGAGGGAAAATCAGATTCATGAAGCCAGGTTTCCGTAATTGCAAGTAGGTTAAAGGAGTTTGTGATAAAAAGATCATGGACAGATGTGAGTTTGTTACAGACAGAGCGGGCATTCCAAAGAGCACAGGAAAAGGGGAGGCTGGTTCTAGGAAGAAGAGGAATAGTAACCAGATTGTGTGGATTGCGGCCGCTGTTAGAGGATAGGGTGTATTGGTCAAGGGAAAAAGATGGCGGCCCAGGATATGGGGAAATGTCTCCAGATGTTAGAAGAAGCAGAAAGTTGAGAGAGGTAATATGGGAGTATGAGTTATATGGAGGGACATGTCCCAGTGTCCTGGAGGATTTATTAGTATCTGGGGTCAGAATTAGCAGGAGTTGAGTACAGTAGAAAGGTGAAGACAGGAGTGAGGGTGATATATATAAGCTGTAGGGTGGAGAAGAGGGATGAAGGCGAGAGAGTTTGAAGAGAGTAAATACAACAGTGAGAAGGAGGAGTACTGAGTGCATGTTACAGAGTGGTGAGAGGAAGATGCAGACTGGGTAAGAGCTGAAAGAGATGGATGGGGAAACAGGTCACCTGTAGTCTGTTTAGTATTTGAGGTTGTCTGCTGTGGTTTCCCGCTTTTTGCTTTCGCCAAAGTGCAATGCTCAATACTTAATCCAAGATCAATACTTTATCCAAGATGATAGTTGCTAATGCTACCCCTGGCTGTGCTGCCCCTAAGGAAGGCCTAAGTTGATACTGAGTTGGGTGGGGGTATTGCTATTAATCAGTTTGGAATGCATAGCAGAGACACATGGCTAGCAGGGGTAACTTCTCACTCCAAAGGAGGACTACAACAGAGCAGAATGGCAGAGCTGTAAAGATCAGGATTAGCTCATAAATTTGGGTTAGACAATAACAGCAAAATAAACACCACAGTAATATGGACCGAGTTAAAGATTTTGGAAGCAGTAAGAATTATGAATAAGAACATTGATAGTTATGAATCAGCTCCAGTTAGAGGTGGATTTTAAAAGCACTATAGGTTACCATATAGCAGTGCAGGGTGAATTAGCATTCATACATGGCATGGGCGATAGTACAGATGGATATTGCTCGCAGACATTTACCTGTGATGGAATAGAGAAGAGTTATTTAGATGATGCAGAGCCAAAGTGCAATGCTTAATACTTTAATCCAAGATCAATACTTTATCCAAGATGATAGTTGCCAATGCTACCCCTGGCTGTGCTACCCATGTACAGGCAAAAAAGGCTGACTACACCCTGGGGAAAATTCCCTTGTAAAGTGAACAGCCTATAAACCACTTGCCCTCCAGAATGCCAGCAGTGCGTTACTTTAATTGACAACTGCGTGATCATGCAATGCTGTGCTCAAATTAAATTTATGTTATCTTTTCCCCACAAATAGAGCTTTCTTTTGGTGGTATTTGATCACCTCTGCGCTTTTTACTTTTTGCGCTATAAACAAAAAAACTACTGACAATTTTGAAAAAATATTTTTTTTCTTATTTTCTGCTATAAAACATATCCAATAAATGTTAACATAACAATTATAACAAACATGTCATACTTACCTGCTCTGTGCAATGGTTTCACACAGAGCAGCTCTGATCCTCCTGTTCTCGGGTCCCATGTTGGCTCTGCTGGCCCCTCCTCCTTACTAAGTGCTCCCAGAGAAAGCAGCTTGCTCTGGGGGCACTCGTGTGTTCCTTCCCGAGCCACCTGTGTGTTGATAAGACACAGAGCACAGATCAGCCCTGCCCCTGCTTCCTCCCCACTGGATGTGATTAACATCAGGCATCAGGAGGAACCAATGGCTCCCACTGCTGTCTCTGAGCCAATGAGGAAAGAGATCTGGGAGAGCCGCTGCTTTTGTGCACATCATTGTATCGAGATCTGGCTTAGGTAAGTATTGGGGGGCTGAGGGGGGAGCTGCACACAGGTTTTTTTACCTTGCTGCCTAGAATGCATGAAGGTATAAAATCTTCAGCCTTTAGAACCACTTTAATCTTTAGTGAGTCCACCCCCACTTGTGCTCCCTGAGGTCTGATCTCTGTTTCTGGGACCAGTGTCAGCTACCCACTCTTCATCTCTCTATATACAATGCTGACCATAGTACACATTGACCATAATATTCTGTGTTCATTAGGATGAAGTGATGAATTCTAGAAATGTCCCCGGCGATCTGCGTTCACTATTGTGGGGATGTAATAAACTCTGATTAGCCATAACATTATGACCGCTGACAGGTAAAGTGAATAAAATCGATTATCTCATTAAATCTGTAGGTGGGTGGAATATGTTATGCAACAAGTAATCATGTTGCCCTGAAGCTGATGTGTTGAAAGAATAAAAAATGGGCAAGTGTAAGGATTTAAATGACAATGGCCAGACGACTGGGTGAGAGCATCTCAAAAACTGTAGCTCTTGTAGGATGTTCCCAGTTTGCAGCAAAAACTTGTTATTCTCTTATACAGCAGGACAACAAAAAAATACAATGGAGTTCAGATTTAGGTCATGTATACCAAATAAACCACATGGCTGTAGTAGGTTATCACTGTGTCTAATATATGTGTCTTTCAGTCCAGCAGAGCTGTTCGTGGTGCGAAGTCGGCAGCAGAACCTTCCTCAGCGCTCTCATGGGCAGAAAGACTTTTTGCCAGATGGCTCAGAAGTTCAGGAGACGAAGTTACAGATCTGCCGTACAGAGCAATGGGAACTATTAGGAGAAGAACGAGTTGAGCGTTTGTAAGTAAAAGAGTAACAAATCCAGTTCACCATTAAGCAGAGTTCCCAGGAACCTACCCATAAAATCCATGATGCCCTAAAAATATCATTGCACAGCTACAAATCAATACTAGGGTCATTGGTTCGAATTCCAGCCACGGCACCACCTGCCTGGAGTTTGCATGTTCTCCATATTCCTGCGTGGGTTTCGGCCGGGTACTCTGTTTTCCTCCCATACTCCGAAGACATGCTGGTAGGTTAATTGGATCCTGTCTAAATTGGCCCTAGTATGTATGAATGGAAGTTAGGGATGTTAGATTGTACACTCCTTAAGGGTTAGGGACTGATGTGAATGTACAATTCTATATATGTAAAGCACTGTGTAAATTGATGGCACTATATAAGTACCTGTAATAATAATAATTGCAGCATACTGCAGAGGGTAGTGTTTTTTTTTTTTACCACACTTCTGTGCTATGCTGTGATGTCGTTCGTTCATTCTGTTTTTCAGGCATACCTAATGCACTTCCATACACACAGCTCTAGTTCCTGCAGGCAAGGGTGACTTTATACAACTTCACAAAAAACAGACAACTGTTATAGGTGTTCAATGAAAGATCCTAACCCACAATAGCCTTTATGCTCTTAAGGAAAATATTATACACCAATCTACCAAGTGCTATAAGATATATAAGTAAATAGATTTTTAAAATTATATTAAAAAAAAGTGAATGAATCATGATCAACATTAAAATGTTATACATTCAACAAACGGGGTCAATATTTAGAAAGATATTACTGTATACTAAGCATTAATTGGATATCACCGACTATGTCATTTCCTGCCACCATAAGGAAGTTCTTTAGCCTTTTTGCAGAAAAAAAACAATCCTTTTATCAAATGTCAGCAGCTACAAATACTGTATACAAATACTGTAGCTGCTGACTATTAATAAAAGGATAATTACCTGTCCAAGGATCCAGTGCCATCCTCACCTTGGTCAGTTCTTCAACCGACCTGGGGCCAACATGTTTAGTGTAGGAATTCGGCTGTGACTTGTGGCTTCACACTATGCATGTGCGAGCCACACTGTGTAAATGGTCCCAGAAGGGTGACATGTACCTGAAGCCTGCAGGCAGGGAGGTAGGGGGGAATGAACTACTGGTAGAATCACCTAGGCAATCCGACCGAGTGGGTACTTGCCTACTAGGTGCCAGCTCCCCACAAAAAATAAAAATGTCCAAAAGTGTTTAGGGAGCAGGACATAAAGCAAAAGATCCCTTTTAAAGTGAAGTTCTGCTTTAGGAATGGATTAGGAGTCCGAAGACAATATTAAAGTAATATTAAAGCTTTATTTTTATTTTTTTCAAATAACATACATGTTATACTTACCTGCTCTGTTCAGTGGTTTTGCACAGAATAGCCCTGATCCTCTTCTTCACTGGTCCCCCTCCAGTGCTCCTGGCTCCTCCCCCTTGACCAGTGCCCCCGATAGCAAGCCGCTTGCTATGAGAGCACTGGTGCGTGCTCGTTTCCGAGCACTGCTCTGTTTCCATAAGACACATAGAGCTGCAGCTTGCCCCTGCCCCCTGATTTCTTCTCATTGGCTTACTGGCTGTGATTGACAGCAGTGGGAACCAATGGCTCCTGCTGCTGTGTCTCAGATAAAGAGGAAAGAGAGAAACCTGGGACAGCTGAGGCTCCCATGCACATTGCTAGATTGCGATCAGGCTTGTGTGAGTATTGGAGGACTGAGTGGGGAGCAGCATACAGAAGGTTTTTTACCTTCATGCATAGAAGGTAAAAAAAACCTTCAGCCTTTACAAACACTTTAAGACAAAGATGCAGAAAGCGGCACAAGAAAGCCACAAGTGCAGTATTTTTTTTTTTATTCAATCAACCAACCACATAAAACACTCAGTAGGTAAAGCAATAACAAGTCTAGGAACGGATGGGTGCAAGCCTTGTCCTCAAAAGCTGTGTAAGAGATCAGGGTTGAGATCTATGCAACTATCACTGGAGTGCAGGATGAAAATCTGCGCTGCTAACACATTGATCACAGATATATAAATCTAGGAACACGTCTGTTCTCACTCCTTCCACCTTGCCTCAAATCACAAGGAATTATGGGAATTTGTTTTGGAGAATTGAACTTCCCCTTCATCAGCATGTTCAATTCCCCGAAATGCATTCCCATGATTCCTTGTGATTTGAAGAAAAGTGGAAGAAGTGAAATAATACTTTTGGTTTAATAAAGATTAAAAAATACAAGAGCTGCACACTTGGTGATTAAATCAGCTGCTGAAAGTGCTTAAAAAAACCAACTCATGGTTTAATATCACTTTAGTGGACCTAAACCGTGACTGAAAACACTGTTTAATTTGATTTTTTTAATATTCAAAGCAAACTCACCCATTTGTCCATTTGAACAGCACCCCCTAACATTTCTAGCCATCTTGGGTAAGTGCAGATGATTCATGTTGTATTTACTTCCTGTAATTCATCTGCCCTTATCACAGGCATTCTGGCTGGAGGGTATGCTTTGCTGAAAAAGTCCCTCTTTCGCTCCTCCAGATGAAAAAAAAAAACACAAAAGACTCTTAAGATGTATGCCATCATTTTGGCCTAGGCCAGAAACCAGGAAGCAACTGACTCAACTGACTCTACCGAGAGCCTGAGCTGGCCCCTCCCACCCCTTTCATAGCCCAGCGCTCACTGGAGGGGCAGAACAGAGAGCCAGAGACTGACAGTCACTGTCATTCCCTGTTCTCTGCTCAGAGCGGAAAGGGAGAATTGAGCAATCAAACTGGGGAGGAGGGGGGAGCGGGAGGGTCAGGGCAGGCCTGCGGATCGATGCTGCATCCAAGGTGAGTGATGTTTTTATTTTCCCATAGCCCATATTTCTCTTTTAGTATATGTTCATAGCCTTTATACAGATACGTATGCTGTGACATTGTTGATGGTCCATGTGCAAACATTCTTGGTATATCATACAGTATGTGTTTTTGTACTAATACACTGCTCAAAAAGGAACACTTTTTAATCAGAGTATAGCATCAAGTCAATTAAACTCCTGGGATATTGGTCTGGTCTATTAAGTAGCAGAGGGGGTTGTTAATCAGTTTCAGCTGCTTTGGTGTTAATGAAATTAACAGGTGCACTAGATGGCCAACAATGAGATGACCCCCAAAACAGGAATGGTTTTACAGGTGGAGGCCACTGACATTTTTTTCCCTACTCATCTCTTCTGACTTTTTCACTAGTTTTGCATTTAGCTAGGGTCAGTGTCACTACTGGAAGCATGAGGTGATACCTTGACCCTACAGAGGTTGCACAGGCAGTCAACCTCCTCCAGGATGGCATATCAATCCGTGCTATTGCCAGAAGGTTTGCTGTGTCTCTCAGCACAGTCTCAAGAGCATGGAGGAGATTCTAGGAGACAGGCAGTTACTCTAAGAGACCTGGACAGGGCCGTAGAAGGTCCTTTAACCCATCATTAGGACACATTTGTGCAAGGAGGAACAGGATGAACACTGCCAGAGCCCTACAAAATGACCTCCAGCAGGCCACTGGTGTGAATGTCTGACCAAACAATCAGAAACAGACTTCATGAGGGTGACCTGAGGACCCAACGTCCTCTAGTGGGCCCTGTGCTCATTGCCCGGCACCATAGAGCTTTTTTGGCATTTGCCATTGAACACCAGAATTGGCAGGTCCGCCACTGGCGCCCCGTGCTTTTCACAGATGAGAGCTGGTTCACCCTGAGCACATGTATTTGAAAGGGTCTGGAGAAGCTGTTGAGAACATTATGCTGCCTTTACCATTGTTCAACATGACTGTTTTGGTGGTGGGTCAGTGATGGTCTGGGGAGGCAAATCCATGGAGGGACGTACAGACCTCTACAGGCTAGACAAAGGCACCCTTACTGCCATTAGGTATCCAGATGAAATCCTTGGACCCATTGTCAGACCTTACTCTGGTGCAGTGGGTCCTGGGTTGCTCCTGATGCATGACAATGCCCGGCCTCATGTGGCCAGAGTATGCAGACAGTTCCTGGAGGATGAAGGAATTGATACCAATGAATGGCCCCCACGCTCGCCTGACCTAAATCCAATAGAACACCTCTGGGATATCATGTTTTGGTCCTCCTGCCACCACCAGGTTGCACCTCAGACTGTCCAGGAGCTCAGTGATCTGATTTGGTCCAGATCTGGGAGGAAATACCCCAGGACACCATCTGTCATCTCATTAGGAGCATGCCGCGACGTTGTCAGGCATGCATACAAGCACGTGGGGTTATACAAACTACTGAGTACATTTTGAGTTGCTGCAATGAAATTTCAGCAAAATGGACTAGCCTGCTGCATATCTTTTTCACTTTGATTTTCTGGGTGTCTTTGAATTCAGTCCTCTGTAGGTTGATAATTTTCATTTCCATCAAAAGATGGGGCATCCTTACGTTCCTAACACATTACCCAGTCCATATCAGTATAGATGTCCAGCATGATATTTTTCCCCATTGATATCTGATGTGTTTTCAAAGTGTTCCTTTAATTTTTTTGAGCAGTGTATATAATGTTTTATCTTGTCCCTGCTTAAATGAAAACAAGGTCTCTTTGGAGGTGTGTGGTTATAATACTATTATAACATTAACCACTTGCCCTCCAGAGGATTTACCCCTATTCCAGACCAGATCATTTTTTTGCGACACGGCACTGTCACTTTAACTGACAATTGCGTGGTCATGCAACGCTGAACCCAAATGAAATTTATGTCAATTTGTTTCCCATAAATAGAGCTTTCTTTTGGTGGCATTTGATCACCTCTGCTTTTTTTTATTTTTTTTTTTTGCGCTATAAAAAAGAACCTAGAAATGCCAAATCACACATATACAATGGGGATCGAAAGTTTGGGCACCCCAGCTAAAAATTTGTATTAATGTGCATAAAGAAGCTAAGGAAAGATGGAAAAATCTCCAAAAGGCATCAAATTACAGATTAGACATTCTTATAATATGTCAACAAAAGTTAGATTTTATTTCCATCATTTACACTTTCAAAATAACAGAAAACAAAAAAATGGCGTCTGCAAAAGTTTGGGCACCCTGCAGAATTTATAGCATGCACTGCCCCCTTTGCAAAGCTGAGACCTGCCAGTGTCATGGATTGTTCTCAATCATCGTCTGGGAAGACCAGGTGATGTCAATCTCAAAGGTTTTAAATGCCCAGACTCATCTGACCTTGCCCCAACAATCAGCACCATGGGTTCTTCTAAGCAGTTGTCTAGAAAACTGAAACTGAAAATAGTTGACGCTCACAAAGCTGGAGAAGGCTATAAGAAGATAGCAAAGCGTTTTCAGATGTCAATATCCTCTGTTCGGAATGTAATTAAGAAATGGCAGCCATCAGGAACAGTGGAAGTTAAAGCAACATCTGGAAGACCAAGAAAAATATCAGACAGAACAGCTCGCAGGATTGTGAGAAAAGCAATTCAAAACCCACGTTTGACTGCACGATCCCTCCAGAAAGATCTGGCAGACACTGGAGTTGTGGTACACTATTCCACTATAAAGAGATACTTGTACAAATATGGTCTTCATGGAAGAGTCATCAGAAGAAAACCTCTTCTACGTCCTCACCCACAAAAATCATCGTTTGAACTTTGCAAATGAACATATAGACAAGCCTGATGCATTTTGGAAACAAGTTCTGTGGACCGATGAGGTTAAAATTGAACTTTTTGGCCGGAATGAGCAAAGGTACGTTTGGAGAAGAAGGGGCACAGAATTTAATGAAAAGAACCTCTGTCCAACTGTTAAGCATGGGGTTGGATCAATCATGCTTTGGGGTTGTGTTGCAGCCAGTTGCACAGGGAACATCTCACAAGTAGAAGGAAAAATGGATTCAATAAAATTTCAGCAAATTTTGGATGGTAACTTGATGCCATCTGTGAAAAAGCTGAAGTTAAAGAGAAGATGGCTTCTACAAATGGATAATGATCCTAAACACACCTTGAAATCCACGGGTGATTACATCAAGAGGCGTAAACTGAAGGTTTTGCCATGGCCTTCACAATCTCCTGACCTCAACATAATTGAAAATCTATGGATAGACCTTAAAAGAGCAGTGCGTGACAGACAGCCCACAAATCTCAAAGAACTGGAAGACTTTTGTAAGGAAGAATGGGCAAAGATACCTCAAACAAGAATTGAAAGACTCTTGGCTGGCTACAAAAAGCGTTTACAAGCTGTGATACTTGCCAAAGGGGGCAGTACAAGATATTAACTCTGCAGGGTGCCCAAACTTTTGCAGACGCCATTTTTTTGTTTTCTGTTATTTTGAAAGTGTAAATGATGGAAATAAAATCTAACTTTTGTTGACATATAAGAATGTCTAATGTGTAATTTAATGCCTTTTGGGGATTTTTCCATCTTTCCTTGGCTTCTTTACGCACATTAATACAAATTTTTAGCTGGGGTGCCCAAACTTTCGATCCCCACTGTATGTGTGTGTGTGTGTGTGTATATATATATATATATATATATATATATATATATATATATATATATATATATATATATATATATATATATATATATAAAATACACACACACACGTCCATAAATATTGGGACTTTGACACAATTCTAACATTTTTGGCTCTGTACACCACCATAATGGATTTGAAATGAAACAAACAAGATGTGCTTTAACTGCAGACTGTCCGCTTTAATTTGAGGGTATTTACATCCAAATCAGGTGAACGGTGTAGAAATTACAACAGTTTGCATATGTGCCTCCCACTTGTTAAGGGACCAAAGGTAATGGGACAATTGGCTTCTCAGCTGTTCCATGGCCAGGTGTGTTATTCCCTCATTATCCCAATTACAATGAGCAGATAAAAGGTCCAGAGTTCATTTCCAGTGTGCTATTAGCATTTGGAATCTGTTGCTGTCAACTCTCAAGATGAGATCCAAAGAGCTGTCACTATCAGTGAAGCAAGCCATCATTAGGCTGAAAAAAACAAAACCCATCAGAGAGATAGCAAAAACATTAGGCGTGGCCAAAACAACTGTTTGGAACATTCTTAAAAAGAAGGAACGCACCGGTGAGCTCAGCAACACCAAAAGACCAGGAAGACCACAGAAAACAACTGTGGTGGATGACCGAAGAATTCTTTCCCTGGTGAAGAAAACACCCTTCACAACAGTTGGCCAGATCAAGAACACTCTCCGGGAGGTAGGTGTATGTGTGTCAGTGTCAACAATCAAGAGAAGAGTTCACCAGAGTGAATACAGAGGGTTCACCACAAGATGTAAACCATTGGTGAGCCTCAAAAACAGGAAGGCCAGATTAGTTTGCCAAACAACATCTAAAAAAGCCTTCACAGTTCTGGAACAACATCCTATGGACAGATGAGACCAAGATCAACTTGTACCAGAGTGATGAGAAGAGTGTGGAGAAGGAAAGGAACTGCTCATGATCCTAAGCATACCACCTCATCAGTGAAGCATGGTGGTGGTAGTGTCATGGCGTTGCAATGTATGGCTGCCAATGGAACTGGTTCTCTTGTATTTATTGATGATGTGACTGCTGACAAAAGCAGCAGGATGAATTCTGAAGTGTTTCGGGCAATATTATCTGCTCATATTCAGCCAAATGCTTCAGAACTCATTGGACGCCGCTTCACAGTGCAGATGGACAATGACCCAAAGCATACTGCAAAAGCAACCAAAGAGTTTTTTAAGGGAAAGAAGTGGAATGTTATGCAATGGCCAAGTCAATCGCCTGACCTGAATCCGATTGAGCATGCATTTCACTTGCTGAAGACAAAACTGAAGGGAAAATGCCCCAAGAACAAGCAGGAACTGAAGACAGTTGCAGTAGAGGCCTGGCAGAGCATCACCAGGGATGAAACCTAGCGTCTGGTGATGTCTATGCGTTCCAGACTTCAGGCTGTTTTTGACTGCAAAGGATTTGCAACCAAGTATTAAGTGAAAGTTTGATTTATGATTATTATTTTGTCCCATTACTTTTGGTTCCTTAACAAGTGGGAGGCACATATGCAAACTGTTGTAATTCCTACACCGTTCACCTGATTTGGATGTAAATATCCTCAAATTAAAGCTGACAGTCTGCAGTTAAAGCACATTTTGTTCGTTTCATTTCAAATCCATTGTGGTGGTGTATAGAGCCAAAAATTTTAGAATTGTGTCCATGTCCCAATATTTATGGACCTGACTGTATGTGTGTGTGTGTGATTTTGCGCACCCCTGCTGCCCTGTAGCGTTATTTCTGCTATAGGGCTGAGAGGAAACGGTTAAAGCATCCATGTTGCATGTATGTTTTGGATTTGAGAATTATGTGTCTGTACACTTTGTAAGAGGCGTGAAGACCTGATTCCAGTACCTGTGTTACGTAAAGCACAGAATTGTGAGAGGAGTTTTTTCAACCCTTTTCTACATGTTCAGGATTCTTTTCCTAATTCTTTTTTTTATATTTTATTATAGAGGAAGTTTGGGGAGAGGAGTATGGAAACCAGAGGAAAGACTTGGTGGAACTGACACGGCCTGCAGTATGTAAATTGGTTTGCTTGTTGGGGACATTTATTGTCTTGTAGAGCAGGGAAGGGTTTGAACTTCTGCCTTTTAACAGTATACTAGAGAATTCCTCTGACAAGCCTAACACCCAACCATGTGTAGAACAGTGGGTTCTCAACCTCTGTAACCTCAGGACCCACATTTGGCCTTGGTCATTAAGTCGGGACCCAAAAATAATTCAATTTCCAAAACATAATTTTTTCCACAAAACAACTTGTGCAGTATTCTACAATGTATATGCACTTTTTAAACAGTAAACAAATGGCTTCCTTCCAAAATGGAAAGTGCAGCAATCACAGCTCTAGTGAAAATGAAAGTGCTGTTTGAGGTAAAAATTCAATAAAATAAATGGTAATTAAAACATATGACATTAATCAGAACTAAGGTAAAACTAGGGATGCTTCCTATGGCGCCTGTTCACATATGTCCGGTGCACTGGCGGTGTGGATTCAGTGCAGTTTGAAAAAGAGTCCGGTCCAGGTGCTGATTACAGGCTATTGACTTCTATGGCAACCGTTTACAAACCGCATATGTGTGAATTGGAGAAAATCCTGAGCTAATCCTGTCCTGAACCTGATGTAAACCTGACATGAACCGTTTGAACTGCTGTATCAATTAGCTTTGAAACCTGAGCTCCACTCTACGCTGCACATGTGTGAATCAGCTCTAAGTGTCTCAAAGTCTAGGGCAGCCTTTCTGAACCAGGGTGCCTAGACACCTTCAGGGGTGCCTTGGCAAAATACCCAAAAATTGTATACAAGCCAGCAGGTGGATCAATTCTGCCTTTTAGTACACAAAGCCACAGGTTTTCATTGTGCACTTTTATGACCTTCTAGCTTCCTGCATCCTAATAACCAATGACATAATCAGTTGATAAGGAGAACGTTGGGTGCATGCACATCATCTTTGTTTGGCCCTCCCCTGCCCCTCTCAGTCAGCACTGGGGTCACATTAGCGTGAGGGAGAGAAACTGAGAAAGACACACTGGAATACTAGTCGGTACCAGTGTGCAAAGGTGTATTTGCTTTGGAAGAATAAATCACTTTCAATTTATATCGCCCGACGCCCGGACATGTAGTTCCGGCGCCGTACAGTTAGTTTTTGTTTTTTTATCCTTCAGCCCTGCTGTGGGCAAATAGCAGGGCTGACCAGGTGGAAGCATGTGCACTGCATTACATTCAGGGAGGCAAGCAGGGTGTTTCAGACCCTGGATGTCTCCTTAAAGAGAACCTGTCACCAAAAATCATCACATAGGAGACTTTGTCCCCTATGTGATGAAAAAAAAAAAATTAGGAAAAAAAAAATTTTTTCTTTAAAATTGTAAAACTTCAAAGTTACCCCAAAGCACGTAACATCCACCCCCCCCCCCCAAAAAAAAAAAAACTGAGCCAGCCAAACCCCCCCCCCACATATACACACATACATATGTAAAAGCACACGCTGGGGCGCCTACACGTGCAAAGTCAATTGCGATACACATGTTACATATTGCCTCGCACGCCAGAGTGTGAGCAATAATTCTAGCACCAGACCTCCTTTGTATCGCTAAACTGATGACCTATAATGGGCTTTAAAAGTTTTGCCTATAGAAAATACGGGGTACTGAAGTTCTTTGCCATTTAACAAATTTAAGGTTTGACATGTTGGATATCTATTTACGCAGTGCAACCTCGTTGTTTATATTTTACAAAAAATAGGGTAATTTATTGCTTTTTTGTGCCCTAAAATTAGCTGACTTGTATTTTTTACTGAAACTTTGCGATATCATGCAACATAAAAAATTGGAACTACTACTATTTTTATTTTCCAGGGTCTCTCCTTTCAGAAAATATATAATGTTTGGGGGTTTTGTGTAATCATCAGGCCTAAAATGATTTTTTAAACGTGCAAAAAAAGCAAAAATGGCTCTGGCAGCGAAAGGGATAAAGGATAAGCTGGACACTCCCCTTTCCTGACAAGCACCCAATCGGTGCTAATTACACTGCAAGGTCTGTCCCCCTCCCTGCTACTCCCCGCATGCAGTGCTGGAGACAGGCAGGGAGGGGAGAAGGAGAAAAACAGCGCAATGTTCAAATTATTACACGTTTAAGTCGCCATAAAGCCCGTTTTGATTTTAAAAGCCCCAGACATTCCTAAATGCACCTCAGATTTAAATACGATTTTGGTTAAAATGTATTTATTATCTGGACAATAGATTATCATGAGGGCAAGTAGATTGGGGCACTGGTTTAGTCCCTAGACAAGTAGTTTTTTTAAAAAATGTCCTCTCGCCCCTGTAAGAGTATTAATGTCTTCAGTGGCTTTTTAAATAAACAATGCAGTTTGTGCAATATTTGCATGTGGGTTTTCAATTCCGCCCCCCCCCCCCCCGGTTTCCCCCCATTTCATGCACTCCTTCAGTTCTCCTTCCATGCTCTGCTTTAGCCCACCCTTTCATGTCCCCTTCCTTTCCCCTTCTATGCTCTTTCCTTGTCCTCCTTTCACACCCTCCTTTACCCACCCTGACCCCCTTTTCACGCCCTCCACTTTCATGGTTTCCTTCAGTGCTTCCCTTTCATGCGCCCTTTCAGTTGTCCCCCCCCCCCCCCCCCCCCATCACCATCACTTTCCTGTTTTCTTTCACTCCCTTCAAAATGCACTCTCCATCACCAAGCCACAACCCAGGAAAAGTACCTAGCGGAGTCATTCCCTGGCGTCCAGTGGTGCTTTTCTTCCCTACTGCGTGACTGTCTGGCTGGAAGGAAGTATAGTTATGTCACTTCCTCCCAGCACTGCCGTGAAGGAAGGAGGAATGAGCGAGCACGAGGACTGTGGGACTGCTTTGTAAGTGCACGTTTCGCAAACCCACCACCATGCCGTCATGTGTATGTCTGGCTAAACCAGGTTAAATGACAAATGAGGAGATCTAAATTAGCCCAGCAAACAGTGCATGCAAGTCTCCATCTGATTGTTTGGATATACAGCCTTTTCACTGAAGATAACCTTTGCTCGTGTATTCTTTTTTTTTTTAATTGCTCGGTGTGATATGCCCAAATTTGTGACTGTTAACTTTAAATTATATGTAAGCCCTAAAAAAGAAGGCAGGGAATATGACACAGACTTCCTTTTGTGTAGGGCAAGTTTTGGCAAACAATGGGTTTCACCAAGGAAGGGAGACAGTGCCTGCTACCGGAGGAAGCTCTCTACTTGCTTGAATGTGTAAGTAGTATGTTTGTATTCAGTTCTTATTGTCTTAATTCTTCCGCTATATCTCACCCTCAAACTTACTTGTATAAACACAAATTTGTAAATGTATAATACTTTTTTATAGTGTGTGTGTATGTATATATAATATATACACACACACTCACCCCCTCGAAATTTCCGCTCACATTGGGCGAGTGGGGGTGAGCAGCGCCTGTACTAGTGGTGTGTGGGAGTGGTGACAAGCAACGATCTCCTGTATGTCTTCCAATGAAGCAGTAGGAAGCCTCGGAGGGAGAGGAGGAGAAGCGGCTTCCAGCAACCCATACAGGGTCACCTCTGCACTGATCGTTCTGCTTTCCTGGACCCCCCACTGTGTGCTCCTCATTGATGCCAGTCTTCTATTGATGAGGTGATAAGGGGAGTGGCTGGGCACTAAGGCGCACACAGTGGGGGGTCAGGAAAGAGACAGAAAGGTCAGGTATAATCTGTTGTGCAGCGGTGACAAGCAGCGATCTCCTGTATGTCTTTCAGTGAAGCAGCTGGAAGTCGCCTCTCCTCCTCTCCCCTCCTGCGGCTTCCATCTGCTTCACTGAAGGAGAGGCTGGATCTGCTCTGCCTCCCCCTGTGCCTGCCCACACACTCCAGTTCGTGCAGCTTCAGAGGATGTGTGGGCGGGAAATTGAACACAGAGCTGCCGACAGCTCTGATGCTTTTGAATGAGCATGTGAGTCCGACCGACCTACCTTCCTCTCCACCTCTCCCTCCCTTCCACCTACCCCTACCCTCCCTCCCTCCCCCTACCCCTCCCTCCCCTACCCCTCCCTCCCTCCCTTCCACCTACCCCTCCCTCCCTCCCTTCCACCTACCCCTACCCTCCCTCCCTCCCACCTACCCTTCCCTTCCACCTACCCCTCCCTCCCTCCCTTCCACCTACCCCTCCCTCCCTCCCTCCCTTCCACCTACCCCTCCCTTCCACCTACCCCTCCCTCCCCCACCTACCTACCCCCCCCCCCTCCCCTTCCACCTACCCCTCCCTCCCACCTACCCCTTCCTCCCCTCCCTCCCTCCCACCTACCCCCCTCCCTCCCACCTACCCCCTCCCCCCCCTTCTCCCACCTACCCCTCCCTCCCTCCCACCTACCCCTCCCTCCCACCTACCCCCTCCTCCCTCCCACCTACCCCTCCCTCCCTTCCACCTACCCCTCCCTCCCCACCTTCCCCTCCCTCCCACCTTCCCCTCCCTCCCTCTCTTCCACCCCTCCCCTCTCTTCCACCCCTCCCTCTCTTCCACCCCTCCCTTCCCCTTTTTTCTTTTCTTCCTCTCCCTTCCCTTTCTCCCTCCCTTACCTTTCTCCCTCCCTTACCTTTCTCTCCCTTCCCTTTCTCCCCCTTCCCTTTCTCCCCCCCCTCCCCTTTCTCCCCCCTCCCCTTTCTCCCCCTCCCCTTTCTCCCACCTCTCCCCTTTCTTCCTTTCCCCCTCCCCTTTCTCTCCCCCCCTTCCCCCTTTCCCTTTCCCCTCCCCTTCCCTCCCATCCCCTTCCCCCCTTCCCTTTCTCCCTTCCCTTCCCTTTCCCTTCCCCCCTTCCCTTTCTCCCCTTCCCTTCCCTTCCCCCCTTCCCTTTCTCCCTTCCCCCCTTCCCTTTCTCCCTTCCCCCCTTCCCTTTCTCCCTTCCCTTTCTCCTTTCCCCCCTTCTCCCCCCCCTTCCCTTTCTCCCTTTCCCCCCCCTTCCCTTTCTCCCTTTCCCCCCCCTTCCCTTTCTCCCTTTCCCCCCCCTTCCCCCTTTCTCCCCTTTCCCCCCCCCCCCCTTCCCTTTATCCCTTTCCCCCCCCTTCCCTTTCTCCCTTCCCCCCCCTTCCCTGTCTCCCCCCCCCTTCCCTGTCTCCCCCTTCCCTGTCTCCCCCTTCCCTTTCTCCCCCTTTTCCCTTTCTCACCCTTCCTTTCTCACCCTTCCCTTTTCTCACCCTTCCCTTTCTCACCCTTCCCTTTCTCACCTTTCTCCCCTTCCCTTTCTCCCCCTTCCCTTTCTCCCCCTTCCCTTTCTCCCCCTTCCCTTTCTCCCCCCCTTCCCTTTCTCCCCTCCCCCTTCCCTTTCTCCCCCCCCTTCCCTTTTTTTTTCCCTTTCCCCCCCTTCCCTTTCTCCCCCCCCCCTTCCCTTTCTCCCCCTTCCCTTTCTCCCTCCCCTTTCTCCCTCCCCTTTCTCCCTCCCCTTTCTCCCTCCCCTTTCTCCCTCCCCCCTTTCCTCCCTCCCCTTTTCCCTTTCCCTTTCTCCCTTCCCTTTCTCCCTCCCCTTTCTCCCTTCCCTTTCTCCCCTCCCCCCCTTCCCCCCTTCCCTTTCTCCCTCCCCTTCCCCCCTTCCCTTTCTCCCTTCCCCCCCCCTCTTCCCCCCTTCCCTTTCTCCCTTCCCCCCTTCCCTTCCCCCCCTTCCCTTCCCCCCTTCCCTTTCTCCCTTCCCTTTCTCCCTTCCCTTTCTCCTTCCCTTTCTCGCCCCTTCCTTTTCTCCCTTCCCTTCCCTTTCTCCCTTCCCTTCCCTTTCTCCCTCCCTTTCTCCCTTCCCTTCCCTTCTCCCTTCCCTTTCTCCCTTCCCTTTCTCCCTTCCCTTTCTCCCTTCCCTTCCCTTTCTCCCTTCCCTTCCCTTTCTCTCCCTTCCCTTTCTCCCTTCCCTTCCCTTTCTCCCTTCCCTTCCCTTTCTCCCCCTTCCCTTCCCTTTCTCCCCCCTTTCCCTTCCCTTTCTCCCCCTTCCCTTTCTCCCCCTTCCCTTCCCTTTCTCCCCCTTCCCTTCCCTTTCTCCCCCTTCCCTTTCTCCCTTCCCCCCCCTTCCCTTTCTCCCTTTCCCCCCCTTCCCTTTCTCCCTTTCCCCCCCCTTCCCTTTCTCCCTTTACCCCCCTTCCCTTTCCCCCCCTTCCCTTTCTCCCTTTACCCCCCTTCCCTTTCCCCCCTTCCCTTTCTCCCTTTCCCCCCCCTTCCCTTCCCCCCCCCCTTCCCTTTCCCCCCCCCTTCCCTTTCCCCCCCCCCCCTTCCCTTTCCCCCCCCTTCCTCCCTTTCCCCCCCTTCCCCTTTCCCCCCCTTCCCTTTCTCCCCCTTCCCTTTCTCCCCCTTCCCCCCTTCTCCCCTTCCTCCCCCCTTCTCTTTCTCCCCCTCCTTCCCTTTCTCCCCCCTCTCCCTTCCCTTTCTCCCCCTCTCCCTTCCCTTTCTCTCCCTCTCCCTTCCCTTTCTCTCCCTCTCTCCCTCCCTCTCCCTCTCCCTTTCTCTCCCTCTCCCTTCTCTCCCCTCTCCCTTTCTCTCCCTCTCCCTTTCTCTCCCTCTCCCTTTCTCTCCCTCTCCCCTTTCTTCTCTCCCTCTCCCTTTTCTCTCCCTCTCCCTCTTCCTTTCTCTCCCTCTCCCTTTCTCCCTCTCCCTTCCCTTTCTCTCCCCTCTCCCTTCCCTTTCTCTCCACTCTCCCTTCCCTTTCTCTCCCTCTCCCTTCCCTTTCTCTCCCTCTCCCTTCCCTTTCTCTCCCTCTCCCTTCCCTTTCTCTCCCTCTCCCTTCCCTTCCTCTCCCTTCCCTTTCTCCCTTTTCTCCTGCATAAAACATTTAACAGTGCCATTTCATAAGATAATTTTCAAGGACGTTTTAGAGGCCATTTTTTACATTACCGCGCTGCGTTACATTGTCAGTTGCACGGTCATGCAGCGCTGCACACGTGCGCGCCCTCCTACCTGGAAATGCAACTCACGTATATATGTGATTTTGCGCAGCCCTGCCGCCTTGTAGCAGTAGTTTTACTGTTGGACGACGGGCAAGCGGTTAAATTCATTTTTTTAATATAAGCAGTGTAAGAGCCTACGTTTGACTTGGTAGCAACCTCTTGCAGTCCCTCTACAGCAGAGCTCAGAGTTGAGGGTGGGAGAAGCAGCATAAGGAGATAATGAGGTGTATTGCTTTTTAAGGAACCTGCTAATAGGAGGAACAGTAGATTATGATAATCTTTGATTATAATAGAGTTTATTATAAAATATTCTGTGGTACATTCAAAGAAGACAAACTGTTTAAAGGGAAAATGTAAGTGCTTGTTCAGACGTTCAGCTATTATTTTCACTACTCTGAAAGGGATCTGTGGTGGATTGCTTTTCAGAGGGCGTTTACCGGCCTGTGTTAACCCCTAAAAAACATCTGCAGTTTTTGCAGCCACATGCATTGCATGAGTTTGCACTGTGGCCCCATTTACTTGAATGGGTTGCTTTTGGCAGCAGAACTGCCCAACAAATATGACAGGCCGTTTAATTTTTTGCCATGGCATGTGTACAGCCCTGAGCAGCTGCATCTTTTTGTTCAGGTGGGCGGTTGAGGACGGTAAACTGTGGCTCAGCCGACTGTTTTACATCCCCCTAGTTGCCTGCGTAAACAAGCTCTAATAGTATTTATTCAACTTGTTTTCAGTTTTTGAGTTTTATAACTATTGTATTACTTCTATTTTTCAAGTTGGGTCTGGGACCTAAAGATTTGGGAAAAAGCAGATATTATTATGACAGGACACTCTAAATGATTTCAGATCTAGTTTTTTTTCTCTGTATACATATGTATTTATGTATGTGTGTGTATATGGGCAACCCTGTTCCTCAGAGCCAGAAAGTCAGGATCCCTCCATCACCTTAAATCCTCTAATACCCTGACACAATAGACAGAAACTCCTCCCCAACAGTGAGGGGAGGGGCAATATGCTAGGATAATTAAGCCATACCCTAAATAGTTGAACATAAAAAGATCATACATAAGACCCCGGTTGCACTGGGTGCGACTTGACATGCGATTTGCATGCCATGCAACTTGCAAATCACATGCCAAGTCGCACCCTATTGTCCACAACTACAGCGGTCATATCGGTGCAGTTCCGACTTGGTCGGAGCCGCACTGATTTCTAAGGTAGCACTAGCACTACTTTTGGTGCGATTTGCGTAGACATCTCTGTCAGATGTCTTGCAAATCACACCTGAAAGCGGCATGTCTCCCAACTTTCAAATCGTGCAAATTCACTGTAAGACTGCCTATGCAACCTCTGTAGGGTCCAGGTATCTCCTCATGCTACCAGTAGTGACGCTGACCCTAGTCAAATGCAAAACTAGTGAAACACAGTCAGAAAAGATGAGTAGGGAAAAAAATGTCAGTGGCCTCCACCTGTAGAACCATTCCTGTTTTGGGGTTCGTCTCATTTTTGCTCAGCTGGTGCACCTGTTAATTTCATTAACACCAACGCAGCTTCAAAAGTGTTCCTTTAATTTTATTGAGCAGTATGTGTGTGTGTGTGTACATACACACACATACAGACACAGCTCAGCATATATGAGGGCTGCCCTCGAAACACGTAAGTCATTCTTCAGTTCCTAGATGGCACCTATCTGATGTCTGAGGGTCCACTGGGACTCATTATTCATTGTACCAAAAAGCTGTAACTTGATATGCGATCTTTTGCTTATTGCTTGTAAGTGTAATTTTTATCATCAATTTAATAAACTCTACCTAGGATAATGCACTAGGCCAGTGCGCTTTCTGTCTTTTTATAGGTTTTGCTAGTACCAAGCAGTGTCTTTTTTGCATTCATTTGCTAGCCAGCATTGTGGAATAGCAGTTGGGTTCTGTTTGATGGACTCTGCTCCTCTACTTTTCTTCGTTATAAATGTTTATATGTAAGTCACAGTGTTCTTTTCTCTGTGTAGGGCACAATCCAGCTGTTTTATAGGGATCGACCACTGTCTGTCCAGGAGGCCTATGAGAAACTACTCTCAGGTGGTTCAGTCACCTTGCCACGCTATCAGGTACTAACTTGATCTTGTTCTGTTTGAAAGGACTTCTCATTCCAGTCATTCATTTACAGAACAATAGAATCATTATTGACCCAGTTGCTTTCAAGCCGAATTCAGCTTTCACTTCATTGTCTGTGCATGGTTTGTCTGCAGGTGTATAGCCATTTGAAGAGATTGGGCTACATTGTCACACGCTTTAACCCAGGGTAAGTGTGTTGTTTCCATTTAGTTTTATCTCTGGGTAACAAAACCTCTAACTACAAGGACAATTCTCGATCATATTGTTTACCTAGAAATTTGCAGCTCTGTAAACATAACTATGCAGATACACCTGTTTTGGGTCTATTTCAAAGTGCAGGTTTGACCCTAATTAACAGAGGAAATATGGCAGTTTCCAATATAAAAAAACTGGCACAGAGTCCCTCCAGGTGTGGCTTTGTAAAAGGGGATGTGAGTTGTCAGCAGACGTCTCAAGTTTCTCCCTCTGCATAATCAGTGATTATACTACAGGAGCAGAGCCTGTACACCATTAAAACCTTCCTCTTCCTTCATTATGAGCCAAGCAGGGGGTAGCTGTGTGATTGGAACATGCAACTTCAGCTCTCTGTTTTCTATGCATTTTGCTTTGCCTCTCTTAGCTACAGAAGAAAGAAATGATTGCTTATTATTAACAAAGGGGCTTTTGCCCATTTTGTTAATTGGGAAATTGCCCCAGTGGGGCACAGATAGAAAAATAATAAACATGACAGGGACAGTGCCCTACTCTATGTAAAATGAAAAAAAAAAAAATGTTTGGCTTTAGGTATATTTTAAAAATGGAAAGAAAAAAATAGCTCACATAACCAAGCTTGTTCTTTTTGTTTTGCTCTGCATTAGCCTGTAGAAGGAGCCAGCACATCACCACAATATAGCCCACTCAATTGGCTGCAGTGCTGATCAGTGTATTGTGACAGCAGATGAGTCCCACCTATCAGAATACAATAACACAGCTAAGAGGATTCCTTCAACCACCTCAATTGTGTGGATGGGGGAATCCATTCAGCCCACTGACTAATCGAAAAAAAACTGATCCATTTATGGCCAGCTAAGAACACTGCAGTTACCCAGAGTGCAACACAACTTGCGGTGTACTGTTGGCTTCTGTTCCTGAGTCCTGGGTTTCATTGTGCGAAAGGGCGACTTCTGCAGAAATTCTTTGTCATCGAGATGTAACTGGTTGTATTGACACGGGACATAGCAGTAGTGACTATCAACCCCAGATACTCAGAGTGCAGTGTCTAAGACGGTCTGTGGGTCCTATGGGCCACACTGAGCATCTGCAGACAGGAAGTTTACCTGCTGCAATTCCCTTCAGTGAAAATTCAAAGGTACACAATGAGCAGGGGGAGAAAAAAAGCATCACTGGTACCCACTAAACAGCAGAGGCAGAAGTAAATTAGACAGATGCCGGTAGAGATGGAGTTCTCCTTTAACTATTTAAAGTTACCAATAGATGTGGGAAGCTGGTTAACCTGCAGCTGTGTATGTTTTCTATTTCTCTAGTATACAAATATTTTTTCTGGCAATTGCATTTTATATATATTTCTTGTGCATAATTTTTATTTGTGCTACTCTTATCTTTTGCAGTTCTGTAAAAACACCATATGAGAGGCAGATAAACTTGGACAGCCAAGTTGGACACAGCCGTAAACGCAAAAGGAGCTCAAGTCCTTGGTAATTATCAGAGCTCTTAGATCTATTTACTGCAGTGATATTTACAAGATGTAAGTGCAAATGTTAACCAGTTTTATAGGGATCAGGAACAGAAGAGGTAGAATTCAAGAAACAAGCCTGTGATAGCAAGGTTATATACACTGTATGTTCCTGTCAGCAATAAATAAATATATATATGTGTGTGTGTTTGTGTTGAGTCTTGGAAGAGTAGGTGGAACACGCCCGAGTGCTTGTATATGTTGCTAATTAGAGCATCACGTGTGACATTTGGTTTTGTAGTGGTTTCCTTGTTTGTGGTAATAAGAGTTTCTGATGAATAGATCCTCTGTTCACAGTCTCCACCCTCTCATAGGAAATCATTTTAGTAAACTCTGTTTTGCAAATGGGCAATATTACCATCCTTTGGCTTGCTTATGTATTTCTTACACTTGAACTTCTCTGTCTGGGCAGGGGGCTGGGGATGTGTAGATGGAGAACTTCTCTTATGGGATGGCTGAACTGGTCTTTTCCCTGGGTGAAAGAATGTCTAGCTTTGCCACTGCTTCACCCCCATACTGATTACTGTCGTTTTTGGCTTCTTCCGTTTACAGGAGGCAGGGCCTATATTTCAGGAATCCAGGTCATTGTCTACATTTCCTTGTCCAGTGGCAGGATTCTCTCAGGATCAAAAAGAGGTAGTCTACAGCAGTGAGATCAGTGTGAGGGGACTACCAAGGACTGGCCGGCGTGGGCATGTCTGCAGTGCTGGATTAGAATCCAGCGAGGGATCCAGATTGTGGATTTAGGTGGTTATCTTATACTTCATAGGGTGAGAAGGAAAAAACACGCAGCATGGGTTACAGGGTCTTGGGGGTGCGAGGGGAGAGAGTGGTTAAATATTTACCTAGAAACTAGCTTTAGGTTTTGGTTTAATGAATATAGTGGCTTTAAATGGATCTTGTGTGTTGTGCTATGTTTTTATTTAATGACTAGTATTGGGTTTCTTTAAACTAAGAGCAGTCCTGAATATTACAATCAAGTCCTGTTGTCGTTGCAGTTTAGTATCAAAGCCTGAAACGACAATAAACGATGGAGAAGAACAAATCAGCTTGATTACTGCTAGTACCCATTGCCCCAGTGACGAGAATACACCTTCCACAGTGCCCTTATATCAGAATAGCCAACAGGCGAATGAAAAAATAGAGAGCCACCATTCAGATACCCTTGTAAAATCTTCATGTAAGAATTCCCGGCCTGACCTAGAAACATGCAAGTCAGGATCAACATTCCCAACCAATTCTCGATGGGACTTTGCCAGACTTTGTTTTCCAAATTGCGCCCCTGATCAACCATGTGTTCAGCTTCGAGATCCAGATCCGACTCTGATACCAGAGAATGTGTCCGGGCGTCCTGTGGACATATCACGCTGGTTAGGAAATCTGAACTTGCGTAGGGAGAAAGCATCTCGAAGAGAGCAAGAACAATGGGACTGGGAGCGCAAGTACAAAATTAGTGTCAATGCAGACCCCAAAGTAAAGAAGTGCACCAACTGGAAGGAATACAAGGAGCTCCTGCAAGAGAAGGCATGTCAGCATGACCAAGATAGACCTTCACATCTTTGGAAGAGTACTGTTCAACCACTGCTGATTCCTGGTCCCATTAAATCTACAGGTGATGATGATCCATGTACTTGTATTTTTATAATTGCTTTTAAATCTCCTTGTATTACATTTAATTTAAAAGTCCAGGTATGTGGATATGTGGCTATTTTTCTGTCTTGTCATTTTATCCCTATGCTTTCATCCTGATGGGATTTGTAGTCATGGGATTTTAGTTTTTAATGTCTATATTTCTGTATCCAGCTTCTGTTTTAGAAGAGATCACACTGATGAGCCAGTCTACTCTGCTGGATGATAGCAAAAGGTAAGCACTGAGTACCCGTGGTTTTCTTTTGCTGCATGGCTGAAATACAACTTATTAAAAGTTATATATAATCATCTATTTAATTTAAGCTATTCTGTATATGGCATTAAATTGGATTTGGGAGATTGCAACTTTTTTCACTTCAGGATGGTTTTCCCTCAGATGTAATCTTAGCAGAACAGAGCAGGGTCTACCTGAGAGATCCAAACCCTACCATACACATTGGTCTCTTCCTAGTATCCGGCCCCCAGCACATACTTTGCTCAGTGATACCTGATTTCCAGCACCCACAGTTCACTTCTCAATGTCTATGCCACAAGTGATGTTTGCACACAGCTCACTTCCCCACATCTGTCACCAATGAGACCTTCCTTTCAACACATCTCACTTTAATTTAATCTATGTAAACAGTGGAATGCTACCTCCAGTATACAGCGCTTATTTGACAGTATTCAAGCTATGCTTTTAGAGTATTCAGTGTATGTGTACTAACCCATCAGGGACTATTCTTCACTGTATGAGTTTCTAGTGTACTGTTGCAGGAATTACCACCCTTAGTGACCGGTGTCTAATCTATGTGCATTAAGAGCACCATTCTTTAATAGTATGTTCTTATATTCTGTAATAGGGCAGCAATGTTCTGGTATACATTCAGTGGCAAAAATCTACACATAGTAGCCCACGTGCAGCTATGAGACCTGGGGTTAAAGTGGTTCAAAAGCTAAAACATTTTTTACTTTAATGCATTATCTGCATTACGGTAAAAAAACTTTTTATGGCTTTCTGTCCTCCCCCTTCCCTGTGTGAGGGGTAAGAGAAGGGGACAAGAAACCCAGTGCTGTGCATGGCTGCACCTCTTCTCCCCTCTCTTCCTCTTCGCACAAGACTCGAACAGCAATAGCTGCTGCTGCTGTCAATCAAATGCAGTGATGCCAGGGGTGTAGCTAAATGGGGAGCGGCTGTACAGACACACACAGCAACTTGCTATGGGGACACTCCCAGAAGATAAGGTTCGGGGCCACTCTGTGCAATACCATTGCACAGAGCAGGTTAGTATACCATTCTTAATATTTTTAACAAATGCGTCCTGTTGCCTTCAGTGCCAAATTGCATCCCTTTTGAAAAATGCCTCTATTTAACCAATTCAATACCGGCAATTTTACACCTTCCTGCCCAGACCAGTTTTCAGGTTTCAGCGCTCTCACACTTTGAATGACAATTGCGCGGTCATACAACTTTGTACCCAAACTAAAATTTTATCATTTTCTTCACACAACTAGACCTTTCTTTTGGTGGTATTTAATCAACACTGGGGTTTTTTTTTTTTGCTAAATTAACAAAAAAAGACCAAAAATTTTGGAAAAAAAAAAAGTTTTTCTTTCTGTTATAAAAGTTTGCAAATAAATAATTGTTCTTCATAAATTTAGGCCAAAATGTATTCTACTACATGTCTTTGAAAATAACCCAAATTAGGATGTATTTTTTAGTTTGTAGGAAAGTTATAGAGTTCACAAACTATGGTATAGATCTGAATATTGATCAATCCTGAAGTACTGACAGCCAGTCTAATTTCTTGAGGTCTAAGAATGTCAGAACAGTACAGATATCCCCAAATGACCCCTTTTTGCAAAGTAGACAGTCCGACGTACTTCATAAGAGGCATGGCGGGAGTTTTTTGAAGTTGTATTTTTTTTGTCATAATTTTTTGGAAAATGCAAAAAATTAGTTTCACAATTTTTTTTTTTTTTTTACATATTGTCACCAGTGCAGTACAGCGTCATCATATAACTGGCATGGCGGTGATCAGGGACACTGACTGGTGACAGTATGAAAAAAAAAAATTATATATTTTTTTTTTTATTAAATTTTTTTTAAGATTTCACTATGACCAAAGTAGTACAATGTTACCATAGTAACATTGTACTACTTTGGGGAAGTGATCAGTATTTTATTTTTTTACACAATTTGCTTATAGCAAAGAATTACTTTGCTATAAGCAAGTATTTACCTGAATGACCGATTCATTCAGGGGTTTTTTGTTTTTTTTTTTGTGCTTAGCTGTGACTTGGCCACAGCTAATCACATGACATATGCATGTGATTAGCTGTGACCATTCACAGCTAGGCAGTAGTATACAATGGATGGCATGAATGAAGCCATCCATTGTATACAACTGTCGTGACCTGCTGTGATTGGTCACAGCAGGTCACATGGTACCGGCAATGGGGCCGATACTCAGATCTGTCATCGGCCGTGTCCGAGGTACATGGCCGGTGACAGATCGCGCCGCTCTGCAGGAGTGCAATCTGTGCATGTGCAGGAGGACGCCATATGGCATCCACCCGGAACGCTGATGACATTTGCCGCCCGCCATTCGGTCATAGGGCGGGCGGCAAATGGTTAAGTTATTTTTAATTTTATGTACTGTATATTTCATGTTATTTTCTGTCTAATTTTTGTGTTACATTCAGTAGAAGTTATGTTACGTTACTGAATTGTATTATTTAGATTCATATTCATTTAAATTCATGATATTAAAAAGTTGAATGTAATACAATTACAGTATCTCCCAGAAGTGAGTCCACCCCTCACATTTTTGTAAATATTTTACTGAGCTCACCAGTGCGTTCTTCTTTCCTCAGAATGTACCAAACTGTTGATTTGGCCGCTTCTAATGTTGCTGCTATCTCTCTGATGGATTTGTTTAGTTTTTGAAGCCTTACAATGGCCTGTTTCACTTGCATGGACAGCTCCTTTGAACACATGATGTAGGTTCACAGCAATAGCAGTTTTGTGTAGATGCACTAACAATTTTGTCATTAAGTAAAACAAACAATATCATTTGTATTTAAATATTGCTGCCACTGCATTTTCTTTTCATCTTTACTGTTTACTATACCACAGTGTTTAGCCCTTGCATGCTGTGGTGGTGGAATAGTAGCTTGTTTAACTTTTCTGTTGTGTTACATAGTAAATACAGGTACAGTTGTTCTAGGGATTTAAAAAGGAGATAACAAATCATCAGTTGTTTTAGTATCACTTCTATGGCCACAGAAGTGGCAGCCAAGCCCCCTTGTCCCTGCTGTGGTTCCTGAGCTCCCCTGCCACTCTTGTCCCCAGTTGCTTGGGCAGAGTGCAGGGACACTTTAAGGGGTCTGTATATAAACCCATTTGTTCTACAAATGTCAGAAGTGTTCTTGCACGTTGAATTAAATGTGACCAGTTTTTGGAAGAGATTAATGCCTGTATCTACAGCTACATTTAATGGCCAAAATGTGGTACAGTTTTCTGAAACCCCTTGAGTCAAAAACTAGAACTATACAGCTCCTTGGCCACTAGATGGAGCCAAGGAAACTGGCAATAACATCTTACAAAATTAGGATCGCATTTCGTTCAGCACTTTCAAAGCTTCTGACATTTATGCCACTCATGTTTTATAAATAGAGGTCATAGAAGAAGACTAAACTAAGTCGTCTTGTGACCTACACAACACTATGGTAAGGAGCTTGTTGGTCATGTTGTCATAAGGATAAAGAATTAGTAAAATCGTAAAGAAAATTAGTGTATATACACCTAAAATCAACATTGCTCCTTTTTTGGCCTGTCAAATATACCATTTGAAAGTGTTTTCTTAGATCAGTTTAATAAGTGCAGATAACCTGTTGATCTGGTCAGAAATCTTTTGAACCGGTAACTTCCCATGCTCTGCTTTGTAGTTTTCAGCCCTCTGCACACTATAAAACACCTCCTCCTTTGTTATAGAAACAATAAGAGAGTGGTCTATAGTTCTTATACAAGGGGCATAATTAACCTCTTGCTACCCACATAATGGATATTAATTACTGGTACTTATATTGTGCCAACAATTTATGCAGCGCTATATATATATATATATATATATATATATATATATATATATATATATATAGTACATTTACATCAGTCCCTGCCCTCAAGGAGTCTTTGGAGTGTGGGAGGAAACTAGAGTTCCCAGAGCAAACCCACATAGGCGCAGGGAGAACATGCAAACTCCAGGCAGGTAGTGCTGTGGCTGGGTTTCAAACTGGCAACCCTAGTGTTTGCTAGGTGGAAGTGCTAACCACTTTGCCCTCTCTGCTGTTACACATAAGCGGGCAGCACAGTGGCTGACTTTAACGTCTTCATGGGTGTCAGAGCTTTCTGAACGGAGTGTGTGTTCACAGTACAGCTCTCAGCTCTCGGTCTCTGGTAATGATCAGGAGTTGGTGGGACAATGGTCAGATGATTGGCCAGTCTCCCCCCCCCCCCCCCCCCGTGGTACAGACCCTGTTAAAGGGATGGTGTGAGTGGGACTGGGGTTAGAAAGAAGTGAATCTGACATTCAGCAAGCATTCTATGCAGGTGAATCTTTCACGTGCATGTGTTTTATAAATGAGTGTGATTGAATCTCCACCAAAGAATACTTTGTGATTGTCACATTCACAGTTTTATAAATAGACCTTTTGCTGTCATAGGGTGAGACTATTTTTAGTCTACAGTTCCTCTGCTTCCAGAAAATGTGTTTAAAGAGTTCTAAGGACATTTTCAAGCCAAAAATGGGCACTTTTCATTTGTGTGAGAACTGGAAAATATGGTCCAGGTTGCATGTGCGGATGAAATCTTTATGGCTTTTGTTGTAGGGATACACAAATCCTAAATCACTTGTCTAAGAGGTCTGTCATGCTGTTGCTGGTTTTATATATAATCTGGGAAAGGAAATAGTCTTTGACTCATTTAATGTTGCCATCTATATGATCTGTGTCTGTAGTAGGTTTAATTTTTTCGACTGTCATATGTTTTTTCGTTTAGTTGGATGATGAACATGTTCTAGGTTTGGTGTGCTTTAATGGCACCTTATAAGACACGGTCCACACAACCTACATAACTGCCTTTCTGCTTTACCAGGATTCAAAAGATGCCAAACCTTCCACAGATCCACTTTAACCTGTATCAGGCTGATGGAACGTCAATATTCAAGAAGTCTAAACCAGGGAAGCCCTATGCACATTTGTGTGTACGAAGGTGGGTAGCTGGGTGAAACACTATGGTTTAAGTTAACACAAAAGGATTGATTTACTAAAACTGAAGGGTGCAAAATCTTGTGCAGCTCTGCATAGAAACCAATCAGCTTCTGGGTTTATTGCCAAAACTTAATTGTACAAGCTAGAGTTATGCAGGCCATAGATGGGTCGAAAATCGGCCGATTTTCGGATCTTTAGTGGGCTAATTGTTTGGCCGTTTTTCGGTATTTTGGCAGATTTTTTGTATCGGTAAAGTTGGAAAATAATCGTCCGATTTTGCCGATCGGCCGATTTTCGCGCGGCAATGATGGGCAAATCGGCCGATCTTTTTACCGATAAAAAAAATCTGCGCGTGAGCAGTGACCTGCAAGAGGAAGACAAAAAGAAGAATAAAAGAGGAAGAAGAAGAAGAGGAGGAGGAAGAAGAGGATGAAGAGGAAGAATAGGAAGAAGAAGAGGATGAAGAAGAGGAATTCCAGTCCGGCAAAAAATGTCCCTGCAGAGAGCTCCGCTATTTCTTTGACCGTTCCTTAACATTTATAGCAGTTGCAACAATGTATCTATTTGTTTCCGAATAAAAACATCTGTATCCTAAATGGATGCAAATATATTGTTGCAACTGCTATAAATGTCAAGGAACTGTCAAAGAAATAGCGGAGCTCTCTGCAGGGACATTTTTTGCCGGCTGTAGATGGGATGAAAATCAGCCTATTTTTTTTTTTTTTTTTACCGTTGCTGGTAACGTCGGCTGCTTGAACGACCGATTTTTCATTTTTTTTTAAGAAAAATCGGCCGATTTTTCGACGACCATCTATGGCCTGCATTAGAAGCTGAATGGCTACCATGCACAGCTGCCCTAGATTTTGCATTCCCCAGATTTTGTAAATCAACACCAACAATGTGGTCTTTAGGTTAGTTGTCATTGTTGCTGTGAGGAAGACTCTCCAGGTGTGAGTAGGAGAATGTACAGTGCCGGGTACATTGTGTTGTTTGACTTTGTGCACATAATTGGACGCTACAGGTGGTATTCTGGTCATACACCCATCCATCATTCAAACATTTTAACCCATTATATGTCCAAAATAATCACTAAATTCACTTTCAGTGTTTATTGTTTTATTTTTCAGGTTCATCCCACTAAATATGCAAAATGACTGAAACTGCAGTGAAAAAAGAAATTTCTTTTCTTAGATTCAATTGGAATATTGAAATTAAGTTTTCATTAAACAATCAGATCAGTATGTGTATGGCCAAAATTAGAGGATGCTTAGATTTTGAGTAATGTTATGAGTTATACATTTCTATACACAAGCATATGTCACAGATGACAGTGACCCTTAGCTAATGAGCTCATAGGGACCAAGTTTCTAGTATGTGGAGTCACTGGTCATTATTGGGGCAAGAGCTCAAAAGATTTGTGGGCAAACTGGAAAATGTACTGCATTTGAGGTTTGATCTTTTCAATGTGCACAGGCCACATATAACCCTGCAGTGTTGAGTTGGTAGCTATGACTTAACAAATGCTAAGACAGATCTTATTATTGTCTACAGGAAGTGCTCATCCAAGGCCCCAGGTATAGTAAAACCAGGAAAGCAGTTTGAAGGTGACAAACAAAGCCATGCTTCTCCCTGGGAACAGAGGGGAGCAGCAAGTCTGCGTATCCCAGACCTGGGTCCTTGTGACTCTGGCATTGAGCATATGGATATTTTAGGAAAACCTCCAATTTACATTGGACTGTGTATTAAGGCAATTTATGACCAGCTTTATATACTTCTACACTTAGATAAATGTTGTCCATTGTGTATTTTTCATTACCACAGGAGGATGCTAATAACCTCATGTGGGTTCTTCCTCAATGTTTAAGGCAAACTTTGTTGTTACAAAAGATTTTGAAAGTTATGCCTTAATTGGTCCCTGAAACACTCTTGGCCATTCTAGTTTGTGACTTGTGTTCTTTGTTTCTTGTACTACAAGGGGATTTATGTTTGCTTACGTTGTACTTTTTATAGACCCAGTTTTGTTTATTAAAATTATATAAACATTCAATTATACATTGCAAATGCATGTACAGTACTGTATGCATGTGTATGTAAAATATATATTTACGTAGTATGTGTGTGTATTATTATTGGATCCCCTGCATATTTTGTATTTTTTGCCCACTTACAAAAAAGAAATGAAGGGTCTATAATTTTTATCATAGGTCGATTTTAAATGATAGAGACGGAATATCAACCAAAAATCCAGAAAAGATACATGATACAAATGTTATAAATTGAGTTGCAGTTCAGAGAGTAAAATAAGAATTTGATCCCCTACCAATCAACAACAATTCTCCCACAGACTGGCTATGTGCTCATGTAGTACACAGATTAGTCCTGTTAATTTAAGAAGGTGCTCCTAACGACAACTTGTTATGCTTATAAAAGACACCTGGCCACAGAATCTCCTTTCTTGGGCAACACCATGGGCAAGACCAAACACCTGTCAAAGGACATCAGGGACAAGATTGTAGACCTGTACAAGGTTGGAATGGGCTACAAAACCATCAGCAAGAAATATTGGTGAGAAGGAGACAACTGTTTGGAGTGTTTTTTTTTTTTAAATGGAAGAAATACAAAATAACTACCTAGGTTTGGAGCTCCATGCAGGATTTCACCTCATGGGGTAAGGATGATCATGAGAAAAGTGAGGGATCAGCCCAGAACTACATGGGAGGAGCTTATGAATGATCTCAAGGCAGTTGGGACCACATTCACCAAAGAAACCATTGGTAACACAATACTCCGCCATGGATTTAAATCTTGCAGTACCCCCAAGGTCCCCCTCCTCAAGAAGACACATGTACAGGCCTGTCTGAAGTTTGCCAATGAGCATCTAAATGATTCAGAGAAGGATTGGGAGAAAGTGTTGTGGTCAGATGAGACCAAAATTGAGCTATTTGTCATTAACTTGACTTGCCGTGTTTGGAGGAAGAAAAATGCTGACTATGACTATAAGAACACCATCCCTACAGTCAAACATGGAGGTGGAAACATGCTTTGGGGCTGTTTCTCTGCCAAAGGTACATGCTGGCTTTGCCAATGTAACGGCAAATGCTGGGTGCATTAACTAAAAGCAAGTCATATACATAATCAACATGTAGTCACACACAGGTACTTTTAATCAAAATTTACACCATTTCATATTCTATGCATGTGAAAGACCCTTTACCAAATGAATACCTGCCCTGGCACATCATAGCATTCACTCGGCACTCCAAGAAATAACAGAATCTAACTGCAATATTCTTGCACTGTCAAAACCTCCACTTTTATTATCACACGACACACAGGAGGATATATATTATAGACATCACAATCTGCATAATAAAACACACCAATAATAATGTGAGCATTACAGCATGAAATAGACACATAATTTGACAGCGTCACAGCATAGAATTAATACATTCCCAAAACTATGTGGAAGTGGGAAGGAATAAATCCCATTGGAACCATACTGCCCAGGGGGTTACGGGGAAGCCGTAAGCGTGACCGACTGATGAGCCCATATAGCTTTGGCAAGAATCCCAGCGTCAGAGCGTCCTCTGGGGCAACTAAGGGGCTTCCCATCGGTCTCGCTTGGACTACCGGCTTTAAAACCATTTTAAGCTTTCCAATAGTGGGCAGGTGCCACACCCACCATAGGAGGAGCTAGCAAAAAAGTTCCGTGAGGATAACAGTCATGCTCAGAATAAACAACCTTATCTGAAAAGTCACACTTTTGCTTCAGATCAGCTTTTTATCTACCCTATACTTCTTCTCATCTATCCTAAACTTAAGGATTTCTAATTTCTCAAGCAAGTAGACATCTTTAAACAGGTTCTTATCTTTTAATGTGATGTTACTAGTTGTCATAAACGAGTTCAATCTCATAAACAAGTTTTTATCTTGCCTCAAGCAGTCTAATATCTTGTGACTCTGTTTCTTTGCTTAGAGAAATTACATCAGTCACCTCTCATGCTCCTGGCATTTGGGCAACAATGCTTTATTGTAAAAATTACCAAAGAAACAAAGGATCCAAGGCCTACACATTTCATAGGCATTACAGCCGCATTGAGTGGCCAATGGATGGGGCCTTGTATTGTAAAATCTTGGATGAGAACCTGCTTTCCTCAGGCAGAACACTGAAGATGTGTCGTGGATGGGTCCTCCAGCGTGACAGTGACCCAAAAGATGCCGCCAAGGCAACAAAGGAGTGGCCCAAGAAGAAGCACATTAGGGTCATGGAGTGGTCTAGCCAGTTTCCATACCTTAATCCTATAGAAAATTTATGGAGGAAGCTGAAACTTCAAGTTGCCAAGTGACAGCCAAGAAACCTTAAGGATTTAGAGGAGATCTGTAAAGAAGAGTGGACCAAAATCCCTGAGATGTGTGCAAACCTGGTAACCAACTACAAGAAACGTCTTACCTCTGTGCTTGCCAACATGCACTAAGGCATGTTTTTACTTGGGGTTCAAATACTTATTTTACTCACTGAACTGCAACTCAATTTATAACATTTGTATTATGTGTTTTTTTTTTGGTTGATATTATGTCTCCATCATTTAAAATACACCTATGATAACAATTACCCTTTGTTTGTAAGTGGGCAAACTTACAAAAGTGTGTGTGTCCGTCCGTCCGTCCGTAGTAGGGTTCAATAATGAGTTGGTCCACCCTATGCAGCTTTTACTCTTCTGGGAAGGCTGTCCACAAGGTTTAGGAGTGTGTCTATGGGAATGTTTGACCATTCTTACAGAAGCACATTTGTGAGGTCAGGCACTGATGTCTGACAAGAAGGCCTGCCTCGCAGTCTCCGCTCTTAATTCATCCAAAATAGGTGTTCTATCAGGTTGATGTCAGGAGTCTGTGCAGGCCAGTCAGTTCTTCCACCCCAAATTCGATCATCCAAGTCTTTATGGATCTTGCTTTGTTCACTGGTGCGCGTTCATGTTAGAACAAGAAGGGGTCATCCCTAAATTGTTCCCACAAAGTTGGGAGTGGACGCCCTAAGATTGCCCTTCACTGGAACTAAGGGGCCAAGCCCAACTCCTGAAAAACAACCCCACATCATAATCCCCCCTCCACTAAACTTTACACTTGGCACAATGCAGTCAGGCAAGTACCGTTCTCCTGACAGCCGCCAAACTCAGACACGTCCATTGGATTGCCAGACAGAGAAGTGTGATTCATCACTCCATAGAACACGTCTCCACTGCTCTAGAGTCCAGTGGTGGCGTGCTTTACACCGCTGCATCCAACGCTTTGCATTGCACTCGGTGATGTAACGCTAGGTTCACATCTATGCGAGTGCAGATCTGCACAAAAATCTAGAGGAAAAATCACAGAGGAATACGGACCTGCAGACGGGTGCCATTGCAGTACACACACACACACAGACACAGACACACACACACTCTCTCTCTCTCTCTCTCTCTCTCTCTCTCTCTCACACAATTTTAGTTTTTTCAGGTATTTACCAAAACATATTCAAGCTATAGTTATATAATGGATATGGGCTGAAAGTGCACACTCTCAGGTTTAATTTGAGGGTATGTACATCCACATTGGAGGAAGGGTTTAGGAATTACAGCTCTTAAGAGTAGCCTTCCCCCCTTTTTCAAGGGACCAAACGTAATTGGACAATTGAATATAATCATAAATAAAATGTTCATTTTTAATATTTTGTTGAGAATCCTTTACTGACAATGATTGCCTGAAGTCTGGAACTCATGGACATTACCAAAAACTGGGTTTCCTCCTTTCTGATGCTTTGCCAGGCTCTAACTGCACCTGTCTTCAGTTGTTCTTTGTTTGTGGGTCTTTCTGCCATTAGTTTTGCCTTCAGCAAGTGAAATGTATGCTCAATTGGGTTGAGATGAGGTGATTGACTTGGCCATGCAGGATATTCCACGTCTTTTCTTTCAAAAGTTTCTGGGTTGCTTTTGCAGTGTGTTTTGGATCATTGTCCATCTGTACTGTGAAATGCTGTCCAACCAGCTTTGCTGCATTTGGCTGAATCTGGGCTGACAGTAAATCTCTAAACACTGCAGAATTCATCTGGCTGCTTCTGTCACATCATCAATAAACACCAATGACCCAGTGCCACTGGAAGCCATGCATGCCCATGCCATCACACTGCTTCCACCATGTTTTACAGATGACGTTGTGTGCTTTGGATCATGAGCTCTTCCAAGCCTTCTCCACACTTTTTTCTTCCCATCGTTCTGGTACAGATTCATCTTAGTTTCATCCGTCCAAAGAATGCTTTTCCAGAACTGGTCTGGCTATTTTAGATGTTTTTTTTGTCAAAGTCTAATCTGGCTTTTCTATTCTTCAGGCTTATGAATGGTTTGCACCTTGTGGTGAACCCTCTGTATTTGCTCTAGTGAAGTCTTCTCTTGATTGTAGACTTTGACAATGATACGCCCACCTCCTGGAGAGTGTCCTTCACTTGTCTGGATGTTGTGCATGGGTTTTTCTTTACTATAGAGAGGATCCTGTGATCATCCACCACTATTGTCCTCCGTGGACCTCCATTCCTGTTTATGTTGCTGAGCTCACCAGTGCGTTCTTCTTTCTTCAGAATATACCAAACTGTTGATTTGGCCACTCCTAATGTTGCTGTTATCTCTTTGATGGATTTGTTTTATTTTTGAAGCCTTACAATGGCATGTTTCACTTGCATGGACAGCTCCTTTGAACACATGATGTAGGTTCACAGCAATAGATTCCAAATGCAAATACCACACTTAGAATCAACTCCAGACATTTTATATGCCTAATTGATGAAGAAGAAATAAAGGAGTAGCCCACACCTGGCCATGAAACAGCTTTTGATTCAATTATCCAATTACTTTTAGTCCCTTTGAAAAAGATGGCTATTCTTAAGAGCTGTAATTCCTAAATCCTTCCTTCAATTTGGATGTACGTACCCATTAAACCTGAGAGTGTGCACTTTCAGACAATATCCATCATATAACTATAGCTTGAATATGTTTTGGTAAATACCTGAAAAAACAGTAAAATTGTGCCTGTGTCCAAGTGTGTGTGTGTGTGTGTGTGTGTGTGTGTGTGTGTGTGTTAATTTATATATTACTAATAAATCTGAGTAGAACAATGTTGGGAGCACTTGTGCCAAAAAAACTAGGGAACGTTACTACTTTCCTTGCAAAATATTTACTTTAGAGTAAACATTGTGAGAGAGACCAGGGCCTGGGATATTCTTTCAAAACTTTTTATACTCCAACAGAAAAAAAAAAAAAAAATACACACACACACACACACACACTCACACACACACACACCATATACCCTACCGATGAAAAATTATGGGAATACTATGCTGAAAGGCTTTGAATGGGGGCACTGTTGGAAGTTGGGGGCAGGAGGAACTGTGGGAGGTTGGCGGGGGGTTGACTTGTAGGAGGGACTAAGGGCTCTCGGGGGGCCTCAGAGCACTGTGGGAGGTTGAAGGTCACAGTGAACCACTTTGGGAATTAAAGAGGCCAGGAGGTCTGCAGGTGGCTGGAGGCACGAGAATAGGGAGAACCCCTGCTTTAGAGGGTTACATGGTTAAATTTGTTTATGCCCTTCCTTAATCTCATCCACAATTTTTCTTTTTTGCCATGTCTCTCCTGTCTTTAAGCTTTTAAACAGACCCAGGTTTCAGATAAGGCAGTCCATATGCAATAAAGTTATGAATAATTTCCAGTGCACATGCCTAAATTCCAGGTGTCTTCTGCACAGTCACATGACAAGTAGAGTACTCCTACTTTCAGCCATGCGTGGTCCTGCATGCTGCGCTGGAATGCAGATAAAGCATTCTACTGTCAGTCCAGGCTGCTTGGTGACACACCCATAGGCAGTGTCTATGACTGCCTGGGCTTATAGAAAGTTGGTTGAATGATATTCAGCATCATTCAACTGGTGTCCAGCAGAGGAGAATGAAGCTGGAATGTGGAAAGGGTGAGAAGTGTGTGAGTTTTTTTTTTCTTTTATACTGAAGACTCTTCTTTATTACAATACCAAAAATATAGAATAACAAGCATGTAAAAGTAACAACACAATAGTAACTTAAATTATGTGTTTACTGAAAATACAGAGTACTTCCTTTATGAATTAGTGCAACTAATAGAGATTGTCCTACTTCTTACAGCTTTGATGAGCAGATTCCCACTCTGCTGATGCTGAAGACCCTGGCCTATCAAAGTGGAGATGTGCCTGTGGTGTTTGCTCTTGTGGATTATGGAGAAGTGGCCTTTTACACTTTCAAAGACTTTCAGCTACCGGTGGATGTATATCCTTGAAGACTAGTACTGAGCATGTACACAGTGCCATGCATTTAGATGAATTTGGGAATAAATGTAATTAATATATTTTTTTTTGAACGTTTGCAAATTAAATCAAAATGCAAACATGCTTGTTTCACTAAAATGAATTATTTTAATAAATACAAAATTCTAACACTATAATACTAAATTTTCTGTTTCTTTTTTTTCTTACTGTACGCTAAACATGCATGCAAAAGAACTCCTCTGTTTGATAAATGCAAAATGATCCCAGCAGCGTATTTACCATGAGGCAAACAAGGCATTTGCCTAGGGCAGCAATTTTCAGGGGGGCAGGGGGCCGCCCACTGCTGTTATAAGACAGTGGCTTCCCCAACAAGCTCATCCGAGCTCCCTGCTTCTTCTGCAGGTTCCCCACTCCTGCCCCTGCACTTTGGGCCATTTTACCTGTCCCCAGCAGGAGCAAGCTATCCCCTTGGTTGGAGTTAAGGAGGACCCAATTGCCCCAACCATCATATCCTTCATGCTATAGAAGTGCTCTCTGCGCCAACCTCTTCCTCCGGAGCCACTCTTGCCCAGAGCTGCCCTCATCGTCACCGCTATGGTTACAGGCCATGGCACAGTTCGGGGCAGTTCATGGAGAGGGAGATCACAGGCTGGGGAGGCTGCAGTCAGATCAGGGGAAGTGGCCATGCAGCACGTCACAGATCCTGCACTGCACACCAGCTGTCATTTAAATATCGGCATAGTGTTTGTGGGCGGTGGTTGCATCTGGGGGAGGGTGGAGTTGGCGGGGTGCTGGTGGGGTGGGGAGCGTCTGATTTTAGTGTTGCATACGGCAGCACAAGGGATAAATACACCACTGGTTGATTCCACCAGAAATCCAATGAGCTCCTGGCTTCCTGAGGATTCTGCTTGTGCTGCACTGTAATCTGTGATACCAGCCCTACACAGTTCTCTCTATGAACTACACAACACCCCTCCTGTATATGTTATGGAGATGAGAGAAGAGAGATGTGTTTTGTATTCCAAATCAGGAGCAGGCAGCCTAGGATGACTGCTACTTTTCTATACATATTGTACACTAAGTGAGCATGGTCACCCTGTCCTGTCAGAAGTGTGTTACTGGCAGTGTCATCAGATGAAAATAAAAGGGGGAAAAAAAAGAAAAGTAATGCAGATCCCCACATCCATGTTTTGTTTTGTTCTTGGGTTTGGATACACTTTGAAGTCCCTGTGTAATAAGGTGTGTCTTTTTATATTATCTTTTAAGGGTTAGTTCACCTTTTCAGAAAGAGAAATTAAACTGTACAAAAAAAAAACACAGCCTCCCCACCCCTGGTCCCCATTGTACAATGCAATGTTTTACTTACCTTTGTGGGTGAGGAGCTGTCAATGCTCACACAGCCCGTGTAGTAGTCCAGGGATTTGAAATCCCCACTCTTCTGCCTCTTCTTTTTTTTAATGCTTTCAGAATGGATCAGAGCAACGCGCTGTGCCAGTGCTGGCCAATCAGAATTGCTCTAATCCAAACCGGAAGCGCTGCAGAAAGAGGGAGAAAAGCTGGGATTTCAAATCCCTGAACTGCTACACCGGCTGTGTAGGCACTGAAAGCTCATAACTAGTGATGGGCTGAACACCCCCCGTGTTCGGTTCGCAGTCAAACATTCAAACCTAATGAATGTTCGACCGCGAAACTTCGAACTCCGTGCAAGTCTATGGGACTCGAGCTTGTAAATTCAAAATTTTGAAGGTTTATATGCAAGGTATTGGCCATAAAATGGGTATGGGGACTCTGGTATTGCCCTGAGGGACATGAATCAGTGGGAATTTTTTTTTCTTTAAAAAGTACAGTTTTTAAAGGGGCAATTGTTCATTGCTTACAGTAAAAAAAAAAAAAAATTAAATTCCTTTAAATATCATGCCGGGGTGGGGGGGCTTGTACTACCTACAAAGCTGCACATCTGTGCAATGTATAGAACCTTCTGCAGCAGGACTATTTAAAAAAAAAAAAATGGGGTCGGGATCTCCCCCCTAATCCATACCCCTAATACCCTTTAGGTCTGGTAGGAAGGTTAGGAGGGACCCCACAGTAACAAAAAAAAAAGTGCCTAGGGTTCCCCCTAAAAGCCATAACAGGCCCTTTAGGCCTGGTAGGACTATTAAGGGGAACCCCCACCCCCCAAAAAAGGTAGAAAAACAAAAAATAGCATGGGGCCCCCCCTTGATTTCCTACTACATCCTTGATCCGAGCACAGGCCTGGCAGTGCAGGAAAGGGGGGGTTGATCGAGCGCTCTCCCATCTCCCTATGGCTTACCAGGCCATGTGCCTTTAGTGATGATTTCCCCATGCCAATGGGGGCTAGGGCCTCTTCCCCTCAACCCTGGCCTGGTGGTTGTGAGGATCTGCGGGTGGGGGGGTGATTAGAATTGGTATCCCTTTAAATAAGGGGGCACCCTGATACTGCCCCCCCGTGAATGAGTATGGAGGACTTGTACCCCTACCCATTCATTAAAGGGTCCAATTCAATAAAAAATAGAGACCAGTCTTTTGAAAAATTCCTTTAACCACTTGCCCTCAAGAGGATTAACTCCCCTTCCTGGCAAGACCATTTTTTGTGTTACAGCACTGCGTAACTTTAATTGACAATTGCGCGGTCATGCAACCCTGCACCCAAATGAAATTTATGTCCTTTTTTTCCACAAATAGAGCTTTCTTTCAGTGGTATTTGATCGCCTGTGCGTTTTTTTTTTTTTTTATTTTTTGTGCTATAAAAAAAAAGACTGTCAATTTTAAGGAAAAAAAATATTTTTGACTTTCTTAAACTTGTCCAGTAAAAAAATGTAAATCTAAGTTTGTCATAAATTTAGGGAAAATGTATTCTGCTACATGCCTTTGCTAGAAAAAAAAAAAAAAAATCCCTGAGAACTGAGGTATAGTAGGGCTAGAGATCCCAGATGAAGAGCAAGGAGAAGTCTGCACTGTTTTATGATGTGGGTCTTTCAGGTGCTGTTGCCAATGGGCTACATGGCAGGTCATCTTTGGTGCCCAAGAGGCTGGTGTTTTTGTTTGATCCGCTTCAGACAGAGACAGAAAACAGCAACGCTGCGGTCTGCTGTACGTGTGTTGAAAAAAAGCCCACACTAATGAACTTTTGGAAGTCAGTAGGGAATTGGCAGCGCCCTGCATCTGTGTAGCTCTGTCGTGGGATGCAATAGGGTGGCCTCATGCCCACCCCTGGAGGATATCCTGCCTCATTGGAGTTGTGCCTCCTCACTTTCCTCCTATGTTCTCTCAGGCACCCAAGTACAGTCAGTGTCCTCATCATCCCCTCCCTCCATGTCACTGGAGCCAACTTGGCAGTGTGCTGTGGCTGGGGAAACATGACTGACAATTTCTTGTCCATCATTGGCACCCCCTCTCTCTAGGCTCACGTCACTTCCCTTCCTCAATCTGGGAACCAACATCAGAGCATTCAAATTGCTGCGCATCCTCCAGCAGCATGAGGCTAACACTATGATCGAATTCCGGTGACGCCTCCATACATGATGGTGGAGCAGCTGTGGTGGACAAGGAGCCTGTGGAATAGGCCACTTTGGCAGCTGAGGTGGAAGGCGAACTAGTATGAGGATGAGGGTGGCTTAGTTATCTGCTCCGCCACCTCTTCTGCATGTTGTGACTCAATAACAGCAGCGGAAGAAAAGGACAAGCATGCCCTACCTGCAGAAGATACACCACGGTCCACGACCACTACTTTTCACTGTGGACACAAAGACTGCTTGCCCTCTCTTAGCTGCCTGTGAGCATCTCTCTCTCCTTGTTGGCCTTTCGGACATGATGGGGATTTTTTTCAGGGATTTTTATAACTTTTTACTTTAGAGTGTGGGATGGAAATTTGGTGTTTATGTGCAATACTTTTGTGCTTGGTGCACTATAAACCGTTTTTTTTAAATAAAGGAAATAGTGGGTTCTGCAATTGTGGAGATTTTTTTTTACTGCTGCTGCAAAAAAATTTAAACAAATGTAAAAAATTAGCAGAGCCAAAAAAAAAACAAAAACAATACACGGTAACACAGAAGGAAGAACACCTTTGCTGCTGCTGGAAAAAAAAATTCAGTAAACCCGACAAAAAAAAAAGGGAACCACTGCTGAGGCAAAAGGAGGAACACCTGCGATGCAGAAGGGGGAGCAGCAATTATGCCCTAAATATTTTTGCCGCTGGGGCAAAAATAAATTAAATTGCAAAAAAAAAAATTAATTCAGTAAACCTGAAACAAAAAAAGGGAACCACTGCTGACGCAGAAGGAGGAACACCTGTGACACAGAAGGGGGAAGTTGATGCTACAAAAAATAAAAAAAATAAAAATTTAACAAAGATAAAAAAAAAAAATGGGAACAGCGGTGACACAGAAGTGCTGTAAGACACTGACACCACTACACTGCTCTTCACAACACTGCACTCCACTCCTGACACTCTATTAAACTCCAGCAACACACTACACAAGGTTGCTGTGCAGGCAGCCTTATATAGTGCGGAGTGTGGACTTAGCTGTGAGCCATGATTGGCCAAAGTCATCATGAATTTGGCCAATCATGGCTCTCACAGTGCATTGTGCTGTGAATAACCAAATCATTGCACCTGACCTGTGGTCAGGTGCATTGTTTTAGCCAATCATGACTCTCAAGCCCTTACCGGTTGTGTGTTCAGCAAACACATGACATCGAGCCCAACGCTACTCGTCACCTACAGAGGCAAGTACAGGGACGCCTGGGTGTAGGGTGTTAGTTCCTTTTAATTTTTTCTGAAAAGGTGAACTTGCGGTTTAATTTTAAGATGGAGCTATTACAATAGCAAAGGCATTGACAGTTTACAAAGGTGTTTATTTTTGTGTGTGTTTTTTTTTGTTTTTTGTTTTTTTTTACAGTTTCTGTATCAGTGACATTTACTGTATCCTTTCCCTTTCTCAGGCCTCTGCACTCTCCAGAACTAATTTAGCAACAAGGCAATTAACCTAGC